GACTCTTTGAATGTGTGAGATTAATTTTTATTTTACACATTAAGACCCAACGATTTGGAGGCTATGCAACTGAGGAAATAGCTTTTTTCTTGAAATAATTGTACTACATGTGCTATGGGAAAGGTAAGAACCTTGTATTGATAGTGTTGATTAATTATGTGATAATTAAATGATCAACTCCACTACATGTTTTCAAAATTTATACTCCCCAGACCAAATCCTTATCCCCCATTGGCTTAATTATTATGATGTTTTCACTTTGATTGTTTTTAGTCTCACACGAGATCGGATTAGATCGGGGCAGGTCAAATCTGACCAGGATTAGACTTGGACAATCATATACTACGTATATTATATGGCTCGCAAGCTGACTGGTGAACCGATGAGTTAAAAGAAATTGAGCTCGATTCGATTGATTAATGAACTGACTCACTTTCAGTTCAAGTTTGAATTTGACCATATTGAAATTGAGTTTTGATCAAATGATCCATGAGTAACTCACAAGCAAGATGCCTTATTTGCACCCTTAGATTGAACGACATTAAATGAAATTAGAACATTAAACTAACCTTCAAAGCTTACTATTTATTTAAAAGTTCAAGAATTTTGGTCGGAAGAAAGACAAAAAATCATAGACTGAATATGGTCAAATCAAATATTGAGAACACTGCGAAAGTGTTATAATAGTCGTAAAAAACTAAAAGTAGACTACTTTCTCTACTTTTTCTTGGATTATACAGAGTATGAGAGTATGTCTTTAAAGAGATAAAATAGAGAAAAAATATTGAGGTGGATGGTTGATCTATTTTCATTTCTTCCCCTTTTATTTTCTATTTATCCAGTTATCCTTTTAAACTTATACGGAACATTTTTTTAATGAACTACTACTATTTTTTTTTATCTTTTTTGTAACTTGTTTTTTGTAGTATCGATTCATGTATCTATTCAAGTTAGCCCAATCCAATTCTTTTAGAATTAATGTTTGGATGTTGTTGGTGTATTCTATTTCAATGGAGACAATTGCAGCTAGAGCCGTCAAAATGGGTCAAACCCGCGGGCTGGCCCGTTTAAACCCATTTATTGGTGGGTTAGGGTTGAGAATTTCTGACCCATTTAGCTCGCGGGTTTTGTGGGTCAACCCACACGGGTTGCGGGTTTAAGTGGGTTGGCCCACCGGGTTGCGGGTTGGCCCGCGGGCTAAAACACAAAAATATTGTTTTGAATTTTATTATCTTAAATATTGTTCTTTTACTACCAATATTATTATAATTACAAATAAAAAATTACAAACATGGCAAAAAATATTTATTTCTATAATAAATATTCAAATAAAATGTTCAAATAATTACAACATTTAATAATTAGTAGTCATCTATATATATATAAAAGCACAATCGTGACTACAACCTGAACAAATCTAGCCATTCAAATGATACACGTGTCAACAGATGGTTAAGTACAATTTGTTAAAAACATCACGAGCACTATATCCTGGATAATCTCATATGCAACCACGTGGCAACCCCTCAATGCCACTCAAAGTCCAGACGTGGGTCAGTTAAATCACATCTTGCACGTCCATAACAAAGCAGTTCATCAATGAAGTTCTATCCCACTTAAGACGTTATAAATCCACTGCGACCAAAATGAAATTCAATCTATCAGAACAAAAACTATGCACAATAGTATATTTCTACACCCTTTCTTTGAACTATTAGCTTTAAACTCTTTTTAGTTGATCGTAGGATTTAATTCCACTGATAAATTATTGCAGAGTTTCAAAGACAAATTGGGCTTTGATGGTTGTATTGGTGCGATCAAACATAGTCCCAGCTTTCACCAACAAAAACGTGATCAACACACTGGAATGTGTGCGTGCTTTATGATCAAGAGGTAATGTAAAAAGTTATTACTGTCTACTTTTAGGTACACAATTTTATAGATATACTAACTCACACACCAGAACGTTTACATTTTAAAGAATTTCAAGACGTACAAAACAACGGATCGTGCATTCAACACCATTTTCAACCACAATACAACAACAGTTGACAATGATGTTCAATTTCCCAGGATGTTGTATAATTTCAAACCATTTGTAAGGCTGTAAAACGCTAATGAAGTCGATGTCAAGGAACTGTTTAGTAAAGCAATTTACACGTACTTCAAATTTTGAATTTACTCAGTTTTGTATGAATTCTTTTTAAAGCTTAACTATCATTTGGCAAAACAAATATCATTGGGAGCGTGAGGTTAATCCATTTCAAATGCAGATGCAGATGCAGCTCCAGCCATGCCATGTTTAAATGAAATGCAGGCAGCCTAAAAACGATGTCATCGCTTATGTAGGCATGCACCACATATGGGAGTATTGCTCGGGAAGTAACTAATAAGGCTGATACTTAAAAAAATCAACTTTTTCATTGGTAAAGGAAATTAGTTTCAATCAATGAGAATATTGACAAATTGTTCTATTCTATAAGTGTACAAAAAACAATGCGGGAATTAATAGATCTTTACCTAGGATTTTTAATCCATTTTATCTTCATGACATACAAAAACAAAGTTAACTCACCCTTCGAGGTTTTTTAGATGGATAACAAGCCTGCTCTTTTGTCAAATTCTGTCAAAAAATAACACCTGAAGGAAACAAAGAATCATCTAAATTGAGTTGCCATATGTTATATCAAATATATATCTACATATTTAATCAGATTAGTACAAAAAAGCATTAAAAATCTGCTACATTATCCGAGTATACTTCTCTTTTTGTTGATACTCAAATGGAATTTATCCTGATGAACTCACTTTTGAAAAATAGATCAATTATATGTAGAATGATATGCACATACATGTAAAACTAAAACAACAGTTATTTAAAGGCAAAAGACATTTAATTAAATAGTTAATCATTATAAATTTATAAAAAATAAATATACACTTTAAAATGCAAGAATAGTTATGGAGTTTTACAGAAAATTCATAATCTCAAATGTGTAATCACCGACATTACACATCAGAAACTCTTTTAGAAGCAATTATATGCAAGAATAGTTAAAAATATAATAGGAGAATCTTCATGTCATATACAAAACCATCATATTATGTACATATACTATTCTGTTTCTTATGTTTTAGCACCATCTTCAATATATGACCTTTGATATTTAAAACACATGTACAGCTTAAAGTAATAATATATACTCTGAAAGACATATATAAACATATCTAAAGGGACAATAGATATAATTACTACATAAAAATAACTTCTCATAACAAATCATATATTGTACGAGTAAAAACTATCCAATCAATAAAAAATCCTCTGCACGTAGTAATTGTCACGTCACTACTAAAGATTTTCTCTTAATTGTCACAAAATTGTGAATTTCCATAAGCAATAATAAAGATTTTCTCTTAATTGATAAAGAGGTATAAGAAATTCAGAATTTGCACTTAAAGCATCTAATCGCAGTGAAAACTATTATAATTATATAAACCTCTAAAAAAAATATGGAGTACTATATCTCTGCCATTAATAATTTCCTTTTAAATACCTAACATCGAGACACTTACAACTACGAGTGAGAATTTTAGTAATGAATAAAGCGCTTTAAGAAATATATAATCTATCATATAAATTAATTTGATTCTTTCCCCAAACTAGGAGGATTCAAATTATTTAAGCACAAACTAAGAGAAAACGTAAAACCAGGAAAATCAAAACAAAAGGAAATCAAACAAATAATGAACGTCACAACACCTCATGAACTACAAATATTTTGTTGGCCTAATAACTACAAACAAAAAATATTGTATTTTTCACAATAATTAACTACATACAATTCAAAACAAAATAAAGAAAGAGATATTAATTAAAACAGCGAACCTCATATAACTACGTCGTCAAATCCGTCTTGACTATCAAAGTGACACTTTGATTACTCGGTGATTGTTTGAGGACAATTCACATCCAGGGTGTGACGGTTTTCGAACCGGAGAATAATGAATGAGAGGCGCAAAGAGAGCAGCGGGGGGGCGGAGATCCGGGTCTGGAAAGATGGAGGCTGCCTCTGAGCTCAGTGTGTCGGTGGGCGCTAGTGCGCTACTGCGCTAACAGTGAGTGCATCTAATAGATATACGAAGTATTGACTAGGGTGTCTTTAACAAATCGGGCCTAATTTATATGGGTCAAAATGCTTAATGGTACGCTAACAAAATGGGTGGGCTGAACTTAAGGCACTCCAAGTATTGTTGGAACAATTAAATTATATGCTGAAAAAAGTAACTAAGACAAAAATATATAATATTTATATATCTAATACCAAATAAAATTATTATTTCATGGGAAGAAATACTTGGAGTCAGCACTTACCAATAGTTAGTATACCGCCAATGTTCACCTTCTTAGAATATATACTCTGGATATGTGTGTTTTGTATTATTATTATTTTTATTATTATTATTATTATTATTATTATTATTATTGCATAAGTATTTCACTTTCTTTTAATAGATCTATTTATATTACCATTTTCAAAAAATAAAATAATAAATTTGTTAAAACATAAACACCTTAGTGTCCCGTGCATCGCACGGGTACGATACTAGTTATTTACAAATAATCAATCAAAAGGTTTATGTGGATCTTTATTTTTATACAGTGAGTATTTTTGTCGTATACCCTTTTATTGTTTTCAAATTCCCGTATAACTAGTATTTAATATTTTTAATTAAACTTAACAAGTATCGAATTTTTAGTATTTTGATTTCTTATATTTCCTTTGTTACTATTTACTAAGTTACTAATATAAATAAGTACTTTCAGGTAATTATTTCTAAAGAATTTTCGTTATATATTTTTTTGCGTTGGCCCAACCCGTTTAACCCACGAGTTAGGTGGTTTGGGTTTGGGTTTAGAAATTCTGACCCGACATTAAACGGGTTGACCCGATCCAACCCACATAAAGCATAATCCGTTACTGACCGGGTCGGGTTGACCCCGTTTGACAGCTCTAGTCACTCTCTTCATCAGTTTCCGCCATCGCGGTTTCTCTATGTGCGGGAACAACTCAGTGCAAGAATGTCGTTTTCACACGGTAATGTTGAATTTCTCTCCATTAATCTCTCAAAAGTATTCTTTGGTTTCCGACCTGGCCGGGTCACTACTCGCACCATCATAGAAGTTCTTATCCTTCCCGATGTATAAAAAACAGAAGTTCTTACTTCCAAACTGCAAAGCCTCTTGGGAGTCAAACTTGTTTTGTTTTTTGTGGATTCATGTTCCAAAGGCAGAGTCTTGATTATATCTTTCATATAGTTGAAATCTAGCAGATCAATAGGGTTGCTTCTCTGCTAGAAATCTAGAATGCTGGATTTTCTCGATGGAATGTTTTATTAAGGAAATTGAGTGTGGGTAGATGTTATTATTACTGTTGAGTGTCTGAATCTGATTGGTTAAAGGCTTTCCATTTGAGTCTTGGCAATCTTTTCCCAATCTGTAGCTTAAGACTGGCTGGGAACAATTGAACTCAGAAATACTCCCTCCGTATCTTAAAAATCTTCTCACTTTCCTTTTTCGTTCGTAACAAAAAAAACTTCCCATTTCTAAATCTTCTCGTCATACCCTCAATAATTCTTACAATAATACACTATTACAACTATTTTTTTGTATTTATCCTACATTCCACCACATTATTCCACCATTTTCTCATCATACCCTCAATAATTCATATCATCTTTCACTATTCTTAATCTACCTACTTTTGAAATGAGAAGATTTTAAAGTTACTTTTGAAATGATAATCTTGTATGTCAGTGTAGCAAATGGTTCTTTCATGAGTTTGTAATGGTGTCAGGTTTTGTTTCTTGAAGTAATGGTGTCAGGTTTTGTTTCTTGAAGTAATGGTGTCTTGGTGTATTTGTATCCGTTTCAAAGTCTATTACGATTTACGAGTATATTTAAAAACAGAATAGTGCACAGACCGTTTGGGCGCTGATTTGAGTGGGCTGTGTCGAATATGCTAAGTGAAACATTGAGCCGTCAGTGTGGAACACACTTAAGTGAATAATTTAATTGTCTGACCTGTTTAGTTTTCCCACGTAGTATTCTCTAGGCAAATTATTTCTTTGTCTGCAGGCTGTTTAGTTTCTACGAGCTTTTTACAAAATGTTTATTCATAAATAAATATGCAAATTGAGGTTGCATATTATTCCTATTTGTGCATGCTACATGAGTAGACAGGGGTGGGAGAGGGTCAGAGGGAGAAGCTAAGGGAGGGAAGAGACAGCAGACAAGATAAGTAGAGAAAATGTATGTTTTTTTGTGCTAATTGTAAAATGGGCCTGATATTTTAAATAGGTTTTATTATTACTTACATTTTTAGAATGTACTCTACAAGACTACAACTCCATTAATATAAAACAACTTGGAGGCATAAAAATAAGGGAAAAATAATTAAAATACCCCAAACTTTGAGAGGGTGTGAGGTAAACACCCCAAACTTGCATATGTAATTTAAATACCCCAAACTTTTTATAAAAAAATATTTTAGCACCATGGTCATGTAATATTTCTTTCAAAAATGTTAATTTTTTGTGTTAATTTCATAATTTAAAATATTTTAGCATTCGTGAAAATACAATTAACATTCTAAACTTCCGTTGTAAAATAATTAATACTACTCCCACTCTATATAATTGCAACATTTTTAATTTGTTATTTTAAATTATGCAATTAACACCTTAAATTTCTATTTTTGAAAAAAATTATATATGACCATGGTGCTAAAATAACTTTTTATATAAAGTTTGGGGTATTTAAATTACATATGAAAGTTTATGGTGTTTATCTCACACTCCTTCAAAGTTTGGGGTATTTTATTTATTTTTCCCTAAAAATAAATGGGAGACAATGAAGTCGTTTGGGGTGGACTGAACATTTCGTCAACTGCAATGTGAAAAATTAATCTATATTATTATTTTTGTATACTTTATGACCTTTTTTATTCCAATCTAAGAAACACATTAAATATATTAAGTACCTTGAGGTGATAACATGAGTTTTGTGTAATATCAATATACGTTAGGTTGAAGTTACTTTTCAGATTAAATTGGCTGAAGCCACTTTAGAAGACAATTTTAATTCAACCAATTCAGCTGCTTCAGCAAAAACTTAATCAATTTCAGCAGATCCATCCGATCTAACCAAATTTAATGTTACCAAACGGGCTCTTAATACATTAAATTTAAATATTTTGGAAACAATATTTTAGTATACTAGTTATTTTTAGTATAAAAAAGAGTGGTACTATACTAGTTATTTTAGTATCACTCTTTTAGTCTTTCCCTCTCAATTGCATTAACTCACATGCCCGCATGACCTGATTGCATTTTTTACTCATGCGTCAGATGCTTAAGTTTTCTTGTCATATATTCGAAATATGCATGTGTTTTAGTAGCTTGAAACTGTAATTTTCCCATGAATATATGTATCTTTCTTCTTATGTATGTGTCTGAAAGCACATCATTGTTGTTCCAAGACAGCAACCTCAGGTCTGATTTCATTGGGGATGCTAGTCGTTTTCGTGTCTCCAATCTCACCATTGGTGAAAACAGTACATTAAGGAAGAAAGTGGAATGCAAGGAATCAAGGATTCGTAAACAACAAATTGCAGTTCCGTCCAATGTGTCGATCACAATGGAAGGGCAAGGTTTTAAAGTTAGAGGCCCTCTAGGAGAGATGGCTCTTACTTACCCATGAGAAGTGAAGCTGGAGAAGGAGGAATCTGGATCCCTCCGCATCATAAAGGCTGTGGAGACAAGAAGGGGTAACGAGATGCATGGTTTATTCAGGTTTTGACCCCTTCAACCCATCTTTCTTCTTTTGTACTCCCTTTGTCCCACTTCGTGAGATGCACTTCCCTTTTTCATCGGTCTAAGAAAATATGAACACTTTCCTAATTTGAACTCTACGAACTTTATTACTTTCACACTTCATTCTTTTACCTATCATTTCATATTTCTACGTTTGTAGAGCTATACTACCTTTTCATGCTTTTTGGAGTTTACAAGTCTAGAATAACAACCCTATCCTTTATTTTCTTAGAACTCATGCCTAACCCTAATGCATCTTACAACTCCTCTGTCCCTGAATAAAGATCATACTTTCCTTTTTGGTTTGTTCTCAAATAAAGTCCTCTTAACTTATTTGGGAAAAAGTAAGTCATCCATTTACTTTACTGCCCCCATTTAATGTCCCCACTGACCACCATTTTTACTCTGGCACTCCTAAACAACTAATATAAGGGTAAATTAGGACGTAAAAAGCAAAAAAAAGGTCTATAAAAAATTGTGTTAAGCCAAACCAGGAACAATAGTAAGGGGCTGAAGGATTATGCCATATTACATTTGTGAACTATTTATTATATGAACTGGATATATGTTTTACCTTTCAAACTAACATGCTATAATATTTTGAGTTTTGACTATATAGATTTAACAGCGAGGAAGTAGTTTTACACTTTTACTGTAAATGTTTGCATGGCGTGGGACACTCACAAATGTTTAACATAAAGCTAATTGTTTTTAGAATGTAAGTGTAACTGAGACAGTTATAAGGTGAAACATCTTTCACCTTTTTTTATCCTTCATTAAGTTTAACTTTTTAGATTAACCGGCATCTTTAATCAACCATGTACAGCACTGGTAAAATGAAAAACTTTATGCCTTGGCAGTTTCTTGTTTATATTCCTTGGATTGCATTTTTGGTGATATATGTTATATACCTTGCACCCTTGCACTGTAAGTTCTGAAGTGAAACAAACCGAACATACAAATTGGATTGTGTTAGTTTAAAATTTTGACTAGGTAAGAAGGCAGATGATTTGGAAATTGGCTCACAGTTATACTCCATATTCATTAATCAAGTCCTACATCTTTATTTTCTTGATTGAATTATAGAGATATCAGATGAGAATGTGTAGGTTGATTATTTTTAACTCCTGTTATTATGCAACTTGCCTGCTTTAATTTAGCGAGCGGTTTAAATGACATGTACATTCCGAAATTTTATTACAGTAAACTGATATGGGATTGGCAGGACACTTACTGACAACATGATAGTGGGTGTGTCAAAGGGGTTTGACAAGAAACTGCAGTTGGTTGGTGTAGGGTATCGTGCAATGGTTGAAGGGAAAGATATAGCCCTTAACCTCGGATTCTCTCATCCAGTTAGGATGGCAATCCCTGATGGGTTGCAGGTTAAGGTAGAGGATAACACCCGAATCACTGTAAGTGGATACGACAAATCTGCTATCGGTCAGTTTGCTGCCTCTATTAGGAAATGGAGGCCTCCCGAGCCATATAAAGGCAAAGGTGTGAAGTACGCAAATGAAGTTATTAGAAGAAAGGAGGGTAAAGCTGGGAAGAAAAAGTGATCACATTCTTGGCTTTTTTTCCTCTTGTGTTCATTGCAGTTTATCAAAGCCATGCTGTAACTTGTAAGCCTGTAATGGGAAGACGTGTGTGTCATTGACATTTAATATTTTGGACATTGTTTTGGGTATAACACTAATCTAAATTAAGCTTGTGAAGTTTTAACATATATTTTCTTTGGTTTGTTTGAAGGCGAAGTTTAATCTCTTTTTTTTTTTTTTGGCAAAAAAGTTTAATCTCTTTTATAATCAATCCTGAAAGCATCTCAAAATTTCATCAAATTTCATCAAATTTCATCAAATTTTTGTACACTGAGGTCCCGTCTAATATCATTTGGGTTTTTGTCTTGAATATAACTAATAAAAGGGTAATAGGCAAAAAAGTAACCGTTTTTAAAAATTCTCGAAATGTGACTAATAAGTGACAAGTTTGCTTATATACACACTTCTATAGTGACACGCTACAGTGATACGAAACACAGTGACATCCACCCTACTTGCCACCACCTCCCACCGATGACCGCCGCCGCTGCCGGAGACTGTCGTCGGCCATAGTGACAACGCCACAGTGACATTGCAGTAGTGACATCCACCCAACCTTTGACCACAGTGACGCCGCCCAGTGATGCCGCCGTAGTGACGACGTCGTAGTGACATGCCAACTCCGGCCATAGTGACCCATCTAGTCTGCCGGAAAATTTTCCTTTCTACCAAACTGCCGCCGTCGACTGGCGGTGCTCGAACAGTGACTCCGCCAGCCCCTCCTTAATCCACCAGACCCCCTCCCCATCCCACCAGCACCATCCCCAGCCCCTGCACAATTGCAGCCCAACACCACACCCCAACGTAGCCCTTCAACCAGACCACATCTGTGCTGCTACCGCCGCCCCATCTCCGGCCACCGCCCCTACCTGTTACCCCCACCCTTGTCACTGTCCAAATATCCCCAAGCCCCCAAGCCCCAACAGCCCCTCCCTGCACCCACCAAAGCCCATCACGACCATACATCTCCTGGCCAAAGCAAACCAACATCGTCCTTCGACAGATTCACGAAGCTCACCGCCACGAATGGAGGATGAAGTTTCCACCGGATCTATGAAGTTCGTTGCCGCCGCTGGAAACGACGATGGAGCAAGTAACGTTGGTTTGCAGACTAAAAGAAAAGAGGAGAGGAAGAGAGGAGTAGCCGTCAGTCTTCGTAGGTGCTGCCCCCAGCGATTGGATTTGAGAGCACCGGCGACTGGATTTGGGAGCAGAGAGCTGCTCGCCAAATGATCGGATTTGGGGGAGACGGGTGGTTTTTTTAATTCTTAAGCTCACTTTTTTGTCCATATGAAATTCAGTCATATTTTTTTCCATCTAAAGTCCATGAGTCATATTTGGGCCATTCTTTCATATCATTTTTAGGACGGGATTGGGGAGGAACGGACATGGAGAAAATTTGAATATTGTCAAGGTGTATAACAGATTGTGTAAAAAGTATAAAAAGGATTCAATTCCTCTTTTTAGCTGGTCAATTACCCATAGTCTGATAGTATTAGTGCTGGGAAAAGGGCCAAAAAGAACACTAAGGTTTTTAATGAATCCCGGATATGACATTCAGGTTTATGGTGAACCAAATAAACACAAGTTTCTACTTTTACGTTTACTTTTAACCACCAACTAACATTTGTCGTTCCAACTATTGTTTCCCGGTTAAAACTTAAAAGCCACTTTCCCTACGTTTAAACACTCGACTCTTCTTCTTTGGTTTGTTTGAAGGCGAAGTTTAATCTCTTTTTTTTTGGCAAAAAAGTTTAATCTCTTTTATAATCAATCCTGAAAGCATCTCAAAATTTCATCAAATTTCATCAAATTTTTGTACACTGAGGTCCCGTCTAATATCATTTTTAGGACGGGATTGGGGAGGAACGGACATGGAGAAAATTTGAATATTGTCAAGGTGTATAACAGATTGTGTAAAAAGTATAAAAAGGATTCAATTCCTCTTTTTAGCTGGTCAATTACCGATAGTCTGATAGTATTAGTGCTGGGAAAAGGGCCAAAAAGAACACTAAGGTTTTTAATGAATCCCGGATAGGACATTCAGGTTTATGGTGAACCAAATAAACACAAATTTCTACTTTTACGTTTACTTTTAACCACCAACTAACATTTGCCGTTCCAACTATTGTTTCCCGGTTAAAACTTAAAAGCCACTTTCCCTACGTTTAAACACTCGACTCTTCTTCGTAATAACCCCTCCATTCCGCCCCCACTTCTCATTCTTCCTGGCTTACCCATCTATTCTCTCCCAATTATCTATTACTGGCATTGAACTGTTGAAATCCCCAAGCCCAGATGCAAATTCTTGTTCATCTAGGTCTGCTGCTCACTATGTGTAGTGCTCATGGGCTTTGTAGGAGCCTCTTGGCCTACTTTATTGGGGGTTTGGTGATGGACTGCTTCAATTTTTATAAGTGCTCATGAGCTTTGTAGGAGCCTCTTGGCCTACTTTATTGGGGGTTTGGTGATGGACTGCTTCAATTTTTATAAGTGCTCATGAGCTTTGTAGGAGCCTCTTGGCCTACTTTATTGGGGGTTTGGTGATGGACTGCTCCAATTTTTATAAGCATTTTGATACGGATTTTGATTTTGGGTTTTTGTTTTTGTTTTTCAACATGTTGCGTCTGGTCGTTCATTTTCTTCTGGGGCTAATGGAATCGCCGAAGACAGCGCCATCTCAATGGGATCCTCTGCTGAACGGGGACATAATGGATCGATCTCAGATTTGCGTGAGCCAGTTGCACAAGAGGGAGCGCGAGCCACAAATCATGAAACGACTGAAGGATTTGCACAGGACATCCAAAATGGTGGCTGGCCAGAGAGGAAAGGTTGTGGCTGCAACTGTGACTTTCCGGCGATGAAAACGACGCAAATTCAGGTGGGCAAGACGGCAGTCGCAGACAGAATACACGACTTCCTCAAAAATGGCAAGGAAATTTCAAGAATGGGAACTAATGAGAAAAATGGGCGACTTCAGGAATGGTTTCAAGAACCGGGAAAAGAACATACGGAGTTGTTCCAAGAATGATAAGCAGTGGGGTTCAGAAAATGCAATCCATCACACGGCAGTAAATGGAGGATGAGCAGGCTGAACAATTCGCCCAAAATTTTGGAGGACTCTATCAAAATAGTAATCCATTCACTTTTTTTGGTTGGTTATGCATTTCAGGGAATTGAATTGTGGGATTTGCTCAAAAGTTGGTTTTGATTTGCACTCTGGCTCAAAGCGTGGAAGAACATCAGATATGGCTCAAATTTGCACCAGATATGGGTATGCCGGAAGAAAGAGCCGAAGAAAATGATGAAAATAAGGAAGAAGAAGATTGTAATGGAGAAGACAAGGTGTTACGTTTTTACGTTTTAGAAAATTGGGAAACGGCCGTATAACGGCAATGTGAGTGAGTGGTTAAAAATGAACCTAAGAGTTTAAATTTGTGTTTATTTGGTCCATCATAAACCCGAGTGTCCTATCTGAGATTCATTAAAAACCTTAATGTCCTTTTTGGTACCGTTGTTGTAGTTGCTTTTGGAGTGAATTTATTTGCTAAAATGAAAGTGAGACTCTTATTTTGATACGACCAAAAAAAAAGTGAGACACTTATTGTGATACAGAGGGAATAGTTATTTACTTGCCTACTGTAACACCCCGGCCCCGCAGGACCCGAGGTAGTTACTTCGGACCTCTAGTACTGTCCTCACAAACCGCCACTAGCCTTTTACGCGCACTTTGTCCTCACTCGTACGCGCCCTGAGAAACTTCCCAGGGGTCACCCATCCCAAGACTACTCCCGTGCAAGCACGCTTAACTTTGGAGTTCTTGGCTAATGAGCTCCCTTAAAAGGAGATGCACCTTGTTTGTATGAGTAGTACTATTAATCCATTTATATTAAATCTCAAGTGTTACAATCACCCCCACTTAGGATCGCAACGTCCTCGTTGCGCCCTTAAACCAATCTCAATCACACCCCAGAATCTTTTCCCCTGCTAAGTGCCCGCCCGATATCCAACGGATCAACACACTGTCGCAGGGTTGCTCTGATACCATTTGTAACACCCCGGCCCCACCGGACCCGAGGTAGTTACTCCGGACCAATAGTACTGTCCTCACAAACCGCCACTAGCCTTTTACGCGCACTTTGTCCTCACTCGTGCGCGCCCTGAGAATCTTCCCAGGGGGTCACCCATCCCAAGACTACTCCCGTGCAAGCACGCTTAACTTTGGAGTTCTTGGGTGATGAGCTCCCTTAAAAGGAGATGCACCTCTGTTGGTATGAGTAGTACTATTAATCCGTTTATATTAAATCTCAAGTGTTACAATCACCCCCACTTAGGATCGCAACGTTCTCGTTGCGCCCTTGAACCAATCTCAAATCTCAATCAAATCCCAGAATCTTCCCCCGCTAAGTGTCCGCCCGATATCCAACAGGTCATCACACTGTCGCGGGGTTGCTCTGATACCACTTTGTAACACCCCGGCCCCGCAGGACCCGAGGTAGTTACTTCGGACCTCTAGTACTGTCCTCACAAACCGCCACTAGCCTTTTACGCGCACTTTGTCCTCACTCGTACGCGCCCTGAGAAACTTCTCAGGGGTCACCCATCCCAAGACTACTCCCGTGCAAGCACGCTTAACTTTGGAGTTCTTGGCTAATGAGCTCCCTTAAAAGGAGATGCACCTTGTTTGTATGAGTAGTACTATTAATCCATTTATATTAAATCTCAAGTGTTCTCAAGTGTTACACCTACTCAATGTGTTAGCATCTAGTGGACTTCTCCTTCATTTTTGTTTCAACAATGAGAGCTTGACAAAATACTCCATCCATCTTAAAATTTTGCAAATTCCTTTTTATTGTTTCACTAACTTTGTTAATCTCCTTTTTAAATAAAGAATTTATAATTCTAATTAATTCTCTTTCTTCTGCACAAACATCAATCACACAATTTTTAAATTAATGTTTGTGTCACAATTACAGTTTCCACCATCTTGAAAAGCTAGCGAAAATTCAAAGTAGCCTACTCCCAAGTCCCAAATTTCCAATGGCACCGCCGAGCAACACATCTCACGAGAATTGCAAGTTGAAGGAGAAATAGGCGAAAATTATCAAATCTATGAGAAATAAAAAGC